GTAGAAATTCCGCTGCAAAACGTCATGGTCCACTTCTGGCCAGTGAACGTCAATCCGCATTAAGCCTCTTAGTCAGAGCTACACAACAATCCAATTTCAAAGAGGAACTTGAACACCAAAGGTTCTCAAAACCGTTGAGAAAGCTCCATGCGTTTCTTGACCATGAGAATATTCTTCGAGTAGGAGGTCGTTTGAAACACGCCACCATTTCATTTTCGGCTAAGCATCCGATGTTGTTGCCTTGTAAAAGTCCTTTGACTACTTTGGTAATTCGTCATGTGCACGAAAAGTATTTTCACGCCAGTTTCAAAAGCACGCACTTTATATTGTCCCAACAGTTTTGGGTTTTGGCTGCTAAGCGTGCTATTAATTCCGTCCTTTCCAAATGTATACGATGTTGGAAGGGATCGCCCTCTTCCTTTCAACCCCCGATGGGTAACTTGCCGCTTTCAAGGGTGTCACAGGTGAAACCATTCCTACGGTCTATGGTCGATTTTGCAGGCCCTTTCAATGTCACGATGTCGCGTCATCGAGGTGTGCGAGCCTGTAAAGCGTATTTGTGTATTTTTGTTTGTTGCGCTACCAAAGCCATTCACTTAGAATTGTGTAGTGATCTTACCACTGATATCTTTGTAGCTGCCTTACAACGATTTGTATCTCGGAGAGGCAGAGTTGTACAGATGTTTAGCGACTGTGGAAGTAATTTTATGGGTGCTCAACGTGAATTAATCAAATATATGGAGCTTGCCGCTGCCAATGAAACTATAACGTGGTCACCGAGTCCTGCAAGTGCTCCTCATTTTAATGGGTTAGTCGAAGCCGGGGTTAAAAGTGTAAAAACGCATCTTGCTCGAGTTGTCGGAGCTCAAATTCTTACATACGAAGAATTGTATACTATTTTAACTCTAATTGAGTCTCTCTTAAATTCCCGCCCGCTTACACCGCTATCCAATGACATTGATGATATAAACGCACTAACACCAGGACACTTCCTGACGTTAGAACCTCTAGTTCCGGTACCTGTTCCGGATTATGAAACCATTTCTATCCAGCGCCTGTCTCGGTGGCAGCTGTTGCAACGTATTCATCAAGACTTCTGGCGCAGATGGCATAAAGAGTATTTGCACACGTTGCAGCAACGTTGTAAGTGGTTGAAATCTACCACTTCACCAAAAATTGGTACGCTGGTGCTTATAAAAGTGGACAATTTGCCACCTTCTCAATGGTGTTTGGGCCGCATAACGGCTCTACACCCCGGCGATGATAAGGTTACCCGCGTGGCAACCGTAAAAACGAGTAATGGCGAACTGAAACGACCACTGGTCAAGCTGTGTCCATTACCTCTTGACTGATTTTTTTTTTTTGTTATTATTGATTTTTTTTTATGTATTGTCTATGAGAATGACGCTTTGGGTTTGAAGTTTTTTTTTTTTTTGCGAAGTGGTAATTTGCGAATTAATTTTAATTTTTTTTTTCCCCTCTGTTCCCTCGGTTTTTCCGTTACTTAATAACAAGCATACATAGTTCCTTTTGGGGGGGGGGGGCAGAAATGTTACAGAACTATAACAAATTTTACGTTAATATTTAAATTTTATTTTGCGCGCTCTATGACACCTTATCTTCCGATACGATATACGAGCCAAGGTTTACTTGCTTTTAATGTTGTTTATGAGTGTCAATCACGGGGACAACATCACCAATATTACCACCGCCGCGGCGCTATCGATATACCTGCACCAGCCCTACATATAATAAGGTAAGGTGTCTCTTTATTTTTTATTACTTAATTACTTTGAAGTCAGCCTAAAGACTTTATTTTGGGCTTGGTTCTTTAACAATCGTCAAAGATGGAAAAGCTTCTTATCTAATATTCAATGCACGGAATTAAATCGCAATTAGCCTGCTTTCGACCAGCGTACCGAACGTGAAGTTAACGGAAGGAGAAGGATTGGAAGTTCCGCGTTCCTGCGCGTCAAGTTTACTTGGATAAATTGCATCGATAGGTGGAGCCATTTATTTAACCGCTTTAGATGTTACGGGGGTTCTCCGAGAAGTAACAAAACCGTATAGAAAATAAATCGTTACAAAATGCTTGAACATTTCCACTAAATATATCAACATGCGGTGTCAATTCATTGCATACGCGAAGGTAAACACATTCGTTCACGGGGATGGAAGATAAAATAGAAACTTTTGAGACTCGTTAAGTTTTGCGTAGGTATCTAAGAAAATAATGTAAAGTGTGTAAGAATGGTTATGAAGGAGTGCTGGTAACTTGTTGCTGTTTTGAAATGGTTTTTAGTCAGATTAAAAGCTACAGGGTGAACATTTTACCGGTATCTAAACTTTTTGAAAGAGAATTTCCATGTAAATGGTAGAATTTAACATATTTCTAACACATAAAGGTGAACTAAGTAACTACAAGACGTGTACCTTGATTTTCTAGTGCTCTACCACTACCAGAGGTAGCAATGTCACCTTAGTGGGAAACAATTTTACTATACTATAGTAACCAGAACTAAACAAAGAGTTGTTATTATCACTAATTCATTTTTGCTCCTTGAGGAGGATGATGGATTTAGGTAACGTAACTGCTAGTGCTCTTATTTGTATTTAATAAAATTCAACAGACCAGTCTTTTTTTACATCATGATCGAACCCAAAATGAATACTAAATCCCCTGTTTACGTCCTTTGCATATTATAAATACTTTCTTGTAACACTGAAATAGAACCAGACACGAATTAAATGTAAGATTCTCCTTGAAACGTAACTCAAAAGTTTTGGATATAATATTTTGTATTGTTTGTAGAATTTGAATAAGATTATAATAACCGATAAGCTGAATACAATACTTTCAATTACTCGTTACATGGCAATATTGATTGACAAACTGGCATTCGAATTATTGCCAGCCATTTTTCTACTTCTATTTTGATAATCATGGAAACAAGGACAGTAAAAATATCGTGCACTACAACAGTGTACACAGCCTATCCAAAAGTTCAGGTTACTAGAAACGAAATGACAAAACTAATTAATATCTCAACTAATCTCAATACTGCAGTTGCAGTTTGCACTGTTTGAAAATGTATTGCTAATGACCCTTTTTTGCCTAATTGCGTGCGATGGTGGGGTTTCTGTTGGAAAATTAATATAGAACATTTGGAGCAGTTTCAGTCTACGCAAATCGCGTTTGTTGAAATTCTAAAGAAACTCATCAGTAAAAGGTAGCTTCGGCGAATTGAGTTCGCATTGGACGTAAATAAAATATCACGCAGTTTATTGAATCAGAAACTAATGCTGGCTGGTGCACATACCAAGAGTTCGTGCTGTTGATCAGCTGCAATAAGTTAGATCGCGTGTGGGCCAGCTACTCATACCTATCCAACACACGTGGCGCGTACGTCACGCGGTCCTGTTCACCGCTGCTCTCCATCTGTCTCTTTTAATCACTCATATTCAATCACTTGGAAAACAGTTTTCATTCGAGAAACACCAAACTACCATTAGAAAACCAACGACCTAATCCTTTTTTTTATTTTAAAAGGTTACTTACGTATAAAAGCCGTTTGAATTCGTAAATCTTTCAAAGCTGATGAAAAACAACTTGAGCTAAAAAGGCCGAGAAAGTATCATTTAGCAAAATTAGCCAACCCGTAAAAATATAGGTAAAACGTAACCAATAAATCCTAATTCGTACATATTATAGTTGGAAATTTAATCCAAACGAGCATCTAAATTCCATTAGGAATATTCGATTTAAAGGTTCTTTTGGTAGAGAGTTATCGCTTCTTCTTTCGAGCATCGGTCAAGTATTTTATCCCATCAATTTCCTTAATTAAAAGGAAATTATAAATTCTTTCGGATCCCGAAATCTGATCGGGCTTCTGAACTGTAATTTAAAGGGCTAAAGTATTTCATCCTATAAAATGAGTGTTAGAGAGAAATTCTCCAATTAAGAGCATTAAAAGAGGTGCTTTGGAACCCTTTTATTAGTAACTTGACTACTAAATTCTACAGGTAAATTTCGTAGTGAAGACAAAACTGAAGGTTGATCCCATTTAAACACGTAATTTGATCGAATAATGATACATGACACCTTCGAAAATCTGTCGCATGTTCACCCGGCTTTCTCTTATGGTTTCCGCTTTTGAACTTATACCATCTCCACTCATGCGGTTGGCTTGCTGACAAAAATCAGTTTTCATAATTTACCGATGCCTTATTATTGCTTAGTCGATTGAGAAATTCAGTTTATTTTCTTGACTTGTTTCGTTCGTCGATTAAAGTGTTCCTTGGCAATTGATTAACGATACGTTAATCAATGCTGTGACAAAATTGTGGCTAGCCCAATAAAGGCACAGATGGGCTCCGTGTTCCGCGTTCGTTCATAGTTGAAGTTGTTACTTTCTTTAATTGGTCAGACATGCTGGCGGTATCTATTGAGGGAATAATTTTATTGTATTGGTAATTCCCATCGAAATCGAATTCAGTGGGGTCAAGAATTTAGAACAATCGATATGAGTCTGATCACGTTTCGTTTATTTTTCACGTTTCGCACTTTATTTTACAAAGGTATATAGCTATAAAGCTCCAATTTGTAGACATCTAATAAAGGTTAAGTGTCTACCTATTGACCATTAACAGATCAATTATATCTAACTAACCCATAAAATTACGAAGCGTTACGTCTAGTAGATATCAAATAAAATGGGTTAGTAAATTGAAAATTTCATAAACGTTCGCCTTTTGAGATGTACTAAAGTTCCTTCAGTACTAAATGAGCGAATAAAAACCTATTGTCTTACGTAATAGAAACTTATGCAACAAAGCACTAGACATCCATTAGACAATCTTTACTTCGTTAGGGAATTCCCGAAGTTCTGACTGTTATACAGGGTCCGGCAAAATGATCTCCCACATTTTGCACCGCCACTGTGCCAGAATCACTGAAGAGAGGGGGAGCTTAGTGTAGTCGGTTGGTAGCTCTGGCCTTGCCATTTCAGTTGTTAGTCATGAATTGGACGGGTGAGCATCGTGCCTTTGTTATTGAAACGTTTATGAAAAGTAACGAATCTGTGATTACGACGCAAAGAACATTTTGTACTCACTTCGCGCTTGGTAGACATGCTCCAGTTCCAGATCGCAAAACAATACTGTTGTGGGTTTCAAATTTTAGAGCTACAGGTTCAGCCTTAAAAATAAAATCAACTGGTAGACCCAGAAGTGTCCGGACACCTGAAATTGTTGCAGCTGTAAGAGAAGCAATTGAACGATCTCCTAGCCGTTCAGCTGTGAAACATGCCTCTGCTTTGCATTTGTCAGATCGTTCTCTGAGAAGAATTTTACACACCGATCTGAAGTTCCACCCATACAAAATGATGATCGTGCAAGAACTTAGTGAACGGGACTGGGAGAATCGCAGAACATGTTCCAACGATATTCTTCAAAACGTCCCACAAAATGCTCTTTTAATAACGAGTGACGAAGCTCATTTCCATTTGTCTGGCTGTGTGAACAAGCACAATTTTCGCTACTGGGCACTAGAAAATCCGCGGCAGCTTCATGAAAGGCCACTTCACAGCCCACGTGTTACCGTTTGGTGTGCTGTTGGATCTTTTGGCGTTTGGGGTCCCTATTTTTTTGAACAGGAAGGCGTGACGGTTACTGTAACTGCCGATCGATATATCGGCATGCTACGCAATTTTTTGGAACCAAAACTTAGAGAACTTGAACATCGGGATGTGTGGTTTCAACAGGATGGAGCTACGGCTCATACGGCAAGAAGGACAATGGACGTTTTAAGGGAAATGTTTCCAGGGCGCGTAATCTCGTTACGTGGAGACGTTGGGTGGCCTGCGCGTTCACCCGATCTTGCTCCATGCGACTTTTTTCTTTGGGGATACCTGAAAGCGAAGGTTTTTCAACACCATCCCCGAACCATTGACGAATTGAAAGCAGCAATACGCCAAGAAATTACAGGAATATCGCCTCAAATTACTGCTCGAGTGATGGAAACTTTCAGAAATCAGCTTCGAATGTGCATCGACACCATGGTCGCCATTTGGACTCTGTAATTTTCAAAACTTAATAAAAACAAATGGCATAGCATACATTTTCAGTTAATAAAGACAAAATCTATATAACATTTACAATGGCGTTTTTATTACAGATTAAAATGTGGGAGATCATTTTGCCGGACCCTGTACTTGTCGCTTTTATTTCAGCGCTCTATATCGAATTAACATGGTAAAGTTTGTCACGTTGGTTGTAGTTGAGCTTAAAATCGGTAATAATGCTGTTATTCCTCCCCAATCTCTGGTATAATTAACGCATTGAAATAAAAGACTAAGGAAAAAGCTTATGTAGTATTAGCTAGGATCCACATTCAATATATTTCATTTTTTGGCGGATAGTACTGTAAAGCATTTCCGTTTACTGGCAACCGGCTATACAAGCGTTTAACCCAGCTTTTATCAACCTGTCTTAACTGGATAAAGGGGCAAAACGCAAATGAGTACGAAACCGGGTTAAAGCAAAATCTAGATTTCTTGGGATCGACGGAAGAAAGCCAGGTTTTACAAACATAAGAAAAACTGATCGGCCTTTAATGCCCAGTTGCACCAACAAAATTAAGCCTTTAACTTTAAGGGATACTTAATTTTGACGGTGCAATTGGCCATGAATTTCTTAGCCAATTGATCACGAACCTAATTCCAAGCGTACAAATTGGTATTTTCTCCTGCAAAAAGTATCGCTGAAGGTTTTTGCTTAAGGGATCTCTCGTGGCGGAAGCGAGGGAGCACGTACTGTCACATCAGTATAGTATAAGATAGATTTCGACGATGGCCTGTTGCTTCTCGCTCTGTTTGTTGTGAAGCAAAAAGAGAGCGCTGTTAAGTAGCTGAGCAGCGGCCTACCTCTGCGAACAGTAACACCGCTGCTCTGGTCGCTTAATGTGAAGGCTTCCATATAAACCAATACTCTGTCAGCAGCAAGACGCCTAAGTAGGACTGCGAAGTCGCTTAGTGTGATAAGACCCTAACGTTGTGTTTGCGGAATATGACTTTGGTAAAAAACATAAATTACTTGTAATTACGGTTTTCTGTTTTTTAAATGGTAAGTTACATAAATTACATAAAATACCATAAAAAACATAAACAATTGGGAATTTTACACGTAATATTACGCACTTAATAGTTATTTATGGTATAAGTGTGTTATATTACAAATAAGTCACGCGAGAAAAAAGTAAGCCCACGAGGCCGTCAGGCCGAGTGGGGTTATTTTCTCAAGTGACTTATTTGTAATATAACACACGTGCACCATACAAAACTTTATCCAACACCTCCTCAAGCTGGTTTAAAACGTGGAAATCTTAAAAACTGCGTGTTCCGCGAAAAGCTAGAGTGCATGGAATACAAAAGCAATAATTCGTTGCTATGGGAATAATAAACAACAAAAAATTTAGTCAGAAAATTTATATGGATTTACTTATGGTTCCTGTACTTTATCTTGCTAGTGAGTTATTTTACGTCCATAACTCATTAGTGGGTTATATTATACCTTACTCGTTTAATTTCGTCATGATAATGACTGGATAACATAGAGGTGTTGGATAAATGTAATTTCACATCACTAATCGGGTGACACTACTGAACTACTTTACTGAACTTTTTTTCTTTTTAACTTTTTTTCTTTCTTTGTTTAAGTATAGATTAACTGCACACTAGTATACTATTGTTACTTTGTCCTGTAATTGGGCGATACAGAAGAAAACGTAGGTGTAACCTGGCGGTTAAATCCCGTTGTTCCAATTCTTATCTAATCCCAAACATTTATCGGCCAGGTGCAGAAACCAAGGATGGCTTAAATGTCTGCTGGTAAGATGGCCCTTATCTTGACTGATAAAAGCAAATAGCTACAGTTCCTCATTACGATGATAATTTTTCTTCGAGGAAATACCAACACCACGACCTTGTGAAGGGGATGAGTGTCCCAACGATGTGGTGGGGGGGGGGGGCGATAAGTGTAGGTGTTCTACTACAAAGGCTAACTTTACATCGGTGAAAAGCAGTTTAATGAGCGATGTATTAATTAAATCTGCAACACAACTCTGAAACGTAAAATATACATATATGCATATATCTACGTCGCTCCATAACCAGTAATGTAACGATACATGAACAAAGGATCTATATACCTAACCTATACCTTTGAATATAATCAAAGTCCTATACGAAATATCGCAGCGCATTATACAATAAATCTACGTTCTTTATTAAATCGCAAAAGGATTGACTTTCCTGACGGATCATAGCTAAGCTACAAATTACCACTTATAAAAAATTTGCTCCGAGACCTACGTTATATTTCACACGTAAGTGCCTAAAATGACAATCCATATATCATATGCCATTTTAAAACATAATTGATTATTTGAGTGACATGCGATTCATTTTATTTCTTTCCAGAAGTTTTTTAATAATCAATAACCGTATTGAAAGCCGTACATCACGTATAATTGCCTCCGCTACTTACGGTTTGTCGTAGTTTTTCGACCCTTTTTTTCTGTTTTAAATACGACCACTTGCGCACCTACAAAAAAACTTTAACCTGTGTACAATAACAACCGCTGTAAATTATAAATATTTGCATTTTCATTATTGTTCGTCTTTGACGCTTTTCGTTTAATGTATGAGCGCTAGCCAGTGGTCTGGTCGGTAATTATTTTGAGTTGTAATGGGCTTGGGAAGGGCTGGAAATATCTAAAAATTTAAAAAGTAATATCCTGTCCCACAGCATTCAACTCCAGTTTATCTTTTAATAATAATAGCGACTGCCAAACGGTACGAAATCACATTCATGGATTCGAGAAAAGGATACGTTTTGAAGAGTGGGTATCTGCTATATTGCGTGCCTACGCCTTACATTATTTATTACTAATGGCTACCTACGATTTTTGCTCACTTACTGGTAACATATATCTCTCTGCTGGAATCCATATTTTACCTTGTTGTACAGTAGCGTTCGGTTGCTTACGTTTTAACTTTTACCATAATTCCACACGATAATTCTAAGATAATTCATTACTTGTGATGTTAGACTAAGCTACCGCAGCTAATTTTAATATCAGTGAATGCCATATTTCTAAAGCAGTTAACTAAACTTATAAAGCCTTTATGTGGTCTTATATAGGGGCATGGCTTGGCTTCGGCTGTTTGTCGACCACCGGCATTGTAGCGTATTTGTCATAATTCTACCAGTATTGTGTAACTAACATAAAGCTGAAGTCTACTTCCAGTATATCATTTAATCGAGGATTAACTTGAATTAAATTAAATCTCGATGATTTATTAAATCCACTTATACGTTCATTACGATGTGTAGGTACGTTATAGAGAGAACTACAATTAAGGCATTTCAAAATCTACTGCAACCGGAAATGAGCTACATGTCTCTCGGTATTTTACTCGCTTATTTAGATTGGGGGTACCTTTTATAATATTATGTTAATATCAACAAAAACAATTAAATCTGTTTGCGCACGCAACCATCGAAAAGCAAACCTTCACTCCGAAGATATGCCAGAATAACCGAAAATTGTCGATATTGTTCTTATTTTTTTCTGATATTCATTTGAACAGATACAAAAGATAAAATACACTTTCTCATTGCCACTTTTTGAATCCTACAAGACACTGTTCAGAGATTTACATACAACGTTTCATCTCGGAGAAACCATCATCAACTTTATTTTTTTATATATTCCGTAAATACATACTGTATTGGGTAGCATTTTTTATTACAAATAAGTAGTTAAGTCATCTATTTGTAATAATTGTTTGTTTTTTTGTACCATTCCCTTTTGTGAGTTAAGATTAAATCGCACTTTTGTAATTTTCACATTAATTTTCCGTGTGTTTTATTTCTTTTTTACCTGTGTTTTTATTGGATGCTTGCCCAAGGCCCATTATAACTATTCAAAATTTTGCAGTTTAGTTAAAGTATTTGGTTTGACCCACTATCTGTTAGAAGTTCTGAGAACAGAGTCGAATCTCTCCCCTGTGCTGGGGAGAAGTTTTGTGTCGTGATAATAAATTAAGGTAAAGAGCTAGCTAGGTTTTTGTTTTGGTGTTTTGTGTACGGTCTTTCTTAGCGGGCCAAAAAGTTACAGCCCAAAAACTGCCCAAACCTCCAAACAAGTTAAAAAGTAATCGTAAACGATTTACATAAAGCGCATTTCCACTTGCATTCATTTCCCATTTGTAAGATGCAACTTCTATTAAAATCGTAAAAATCCGGCCACAAATATGAAATATAGCGTTGCACATGGGCAATCCATTTTTGACGTGCTACTTCAATTTCAGTTTATGAGAAGAATTTCATTTCAATGCTTTTCTAAATAAGAAAGTTGGAACTGCGCATGCGCAAACCTAAATTTTGAAACTAATGTTAGATTTTCCTTTGTTCCAAGCGCCTAAGTATCAAATTTCACTTAAATGCTTCCATAGATAAAAAAGTTGGCACTGCGCATGCGCAAAATAAAATTTTGAAACTGGCGCTAGATTTTCCTTTATCCCAAGTGCCTATGTATCAAATTTCGTTTAAATTCTTCCATAAATAAAAAAGTTGGCAATGCGCATGCGCAAAACCAAATTTTGAAATTGGCGTTTGATTTTCCTTTATCCCAAGTGCCTATGTATCAAATTTCGTTTAAATTCTTCCATAAATAAAAAAGTTGGCACTGCGCATGCGCAAAACCAAATTTTGAAATTGGCGTTTGATTTTCCTTTATTTCAAGTGCCTATGTATCAAATTTCATTCAAATACTTTTATAAGTAAAAAAGTTTGCAATTCGGTTTATAAATAGTCGAGATGCGAAAGGGCACTGTGAATTTTGAATCGATTCGATTCAACTTTTGGCATTGCGCATTATATGGCTAAAGCTATGCCCATATTGAATTTCATGCAATTCAGTTCATAACTAACGGAGATGTAAAAGCGATCGAACATTTCTAAACAAAGTTATCGTTCACACGGACAGATAGATGGACAGACAGACAAAGGAACAGACGGACAGACCAACAGGCAGACGACAGATAGCAATGCAAAATTATAAACGATCTCTAGGATCGTTAATAAACGGCAAAAGTGTAAAATTATGGAACATGTAAAAAACGGTTTTTTGTTTTTTTTACAATAACTTTTTTTGTAAGCGGTACAGAAAAAATTCCTTCCTTGGTACAAGACTCGACACCATAACGAACCAAATAGCGAAAAAAGTAGAACAATAGCTCTTAAGATAAAGAACTAGTAGCGTCGCAAAGTTACGGACGGACGGACACGGACGGACGGACGGACGGACGGACGGACGGACGGACAAAGTGGCCACAATAGCGCATTTTTTTTTTATTTTTGTGGAAATGCGCTAAAAAGGGTTTCTTTTATAATTCTTGTTACAAAGAACATATGAATGCCCGGTTTTCTGTGTTAGATAGATTTTTCGTTCAACATTAGCACGATCCTATTCGGAAGTCGCTCGTATCTTAAGGGACAGTTAGCTTTGTTTGATCTCCAACTGCCATGGCACCACTGATTTTCCTAAAAGCGCAAGTTTTTAGTTATCCAATTTCTTGGTTTCAAAGGTCAAAACATTAAAAGCTATAGTATGCATGGATTCGTAGTTTTGTTTCTCTACGAAAAACCTAAACTGATTTTATCTCTAAAATAATTATGGAAGATTTCAGAAATGAAAAAATTACTATTGAAATTCCTATTTAGGGGATGTTTTGACATATGATTTAGAAATGTAATTGTTTTCCGTTTGAATACAAAAAATATCGAGTTCTAAAATTATTGATTATTTATAAAAAGGTGTCCATAGATAACAAGGCTCCTTTTTAGCGCATTTCCACAAAAATAAAAAAAAATGCGCTATTGTGGCCACTTTGTCCGTCCGTCCGTCCGTCCGTCCGTCCGCCCGCTAACTTTGCGACGCTACTAGTTTTTTATCTTAAGAGCTATTGTTCTACTTTTTTCGCTATTTGGTTCGTTATGGTGTCGAGTCTTGTACCAAGGAAGGAATTTTTTCTGTACCGCTTACAAAAAAAGTTATTGTAAAAAAAAACAAAAAACCGTTTTTTACATGTTCCATAATTTTACACTTTTGCCGTTTATTAACGATCCTAGAGATCGTTTATAATTTTGCATTGCTATCTGTCGCCTGCCGGTTGGTCTCTCCGTCTGTTCCTTTGTCTGTCTGTCCATCTATCTGTCCGTGTGAACGATAACTTTGTTTAGAAATGTTCGATCGCTTTTACATCTCCGTTAGTTATGAACTGAATTGCATGAAATTCAATATGGGCATAGATTTAGCCATATAATACGCAATGCCAAAAGTTGAATCGAATCGATTCAAAATTCACAGTGCCCTTTTCGCATCTCGACCATTTGTAAACCGAATTGCAAACTTTTTTACTTATAAAAGTATTTGAATGAAATTTGATACATAGGCACTTGGAATAAAGGAAAATCAAACGCCAATTTCAAAATTTGGTTTTGCGCATGCGCAGTGCCAACTTTTTTATTTATGGAAGAATTTAAATGAAATTTGATACATAGGCACTTGGAATAAAGGAAAATCTAGTGCCAGTTTCAAAATTTTATTTTGCGCATGCGCAGTGCCAACTTTTTTATCTATGGAACTATTTAAGTGAAATTTGATACTTAGGCGCTTGGAACAAAGGAAAATCTTAGTTTATTAGTTAGTTATAGTAAATTAGTTTTAAAATTTAGGTTTGCGCATGCGCAGCTCCAACTTTCTTATTTAGAAAAGCATTGAAATGAAATTCTTCTCATAAACTGAAATTGAAGTAGCACGTCAACAATGGATTGCCCATGTGCAACGCTATCTTTCATATTTGTGGGCGGATTTTTACGATTTTAACAGAAGTTGCATCTTACAAATGGGAAATGAATGCAAGTGGAAATGCGCTTTATGTAAATCGTTTACGATTACTTTTTAACTTGTTATATACTTACCACACGAAATGCTCTCTTTTTCATCTGGGCCGTTTTACGTTTATTAACGCTCTGAACTAAATAAGGAATACGTCGTCTTGAGATTAGACTGACAAGAGCTGCACATCTACACCAAATTATATTACCATCATTGTTCAAAAAATAATCATAAAAGTAAATTTTCACCTTGATAATAAATGTCTCCTTGACACCGTGTTCTATATAAATTTAATATTATATTATTATCAGCTGCACTCTAGAATTTTTTTAGAATGTTTACAGATAACCCACAACATAATGGCTCAAACTAATATTCGAAAATACATCACCCTCGTAAATTTTTGGTGTCGCATTCTACTTTTTTCAAAAATGGGGTTTAAGAACAATTAACGGTGCGCTATCTAATGAAATAGGGCAAGGTCCTTAAGTTTCACAAGAGTTTTTAGGAGAATTACACAATCAACAATTCTTATTTGCATTAAAATATTTACCTTTCGCGATATCGCGTCAGAATATTTGAACCAAATAAACAATATCATTTTTCTTGAATTTCTACACATAAATTATTAACATTATTAGCTCCTTTTATCAAAATGAGTGTGGTGCTGCACAGCGCGGTGGTGCTTTTAATATTTTCTCCTTTCAGTCTGGTGTGTTCACCTCATGGTCGAGGTACGTACGTATACACACGCAACGAATTCCCTGAAATCCTTAATTGCGTAGCTCAAACGAGACATCCCAAATGGTCGTATGGAGGCGAGAGTGATATGTTAATGCCCGACACAAGGTCTGCAATCAACTTGGTCGAAAGGTGGTGGCCTAAAGGCGTTATATGTTACGAAATTGAAGGAAATTTTTGTAAGATATCAACATTTTTGTTGCTACGCAGTTGTTGACTTCACCAAACTGAGTCTGTTGGGTGGTGGGGCTTGTTGGTGGTGTGTGTGAAGTTTGAAGGATAAAAATCTAGAATCTCCCCATACCTTCATTAGCTCAGATGTGTTTAGATGTAGAAAACTATAAAATTATGTGGACAACCATGATCCCTTAGTATTAATAAATAATAAGTCAGCTCATCTTCCATAACATGTTGTATTCTACAATGCAATGTTAAGCTACCATTTACAGACACTGCTTTTTACGTAAACTATAATTACGGCTTCTTATTTTTTGCATTGAAATAATATGGGCTTACTATTCTAGCACTATATGAACTCGATATTATACTTGAAGCATTGCGCGATGGATTTAATGGAACTTGTATAAGGCTTAGGAACTGTCGTTGGGAATGTGGAGGCGACTACGTTGCCATAAAGGTATGAATGTGTGCAATAGGGTAACCATATACCACCCTTAGGTTACCATCTAGAACGATGAACCAAACTGTTTTACCGACGTTGGTCGATTAGGAGGGCGACAAGTAATGAATTTAGGCGAAGGATGCGTTTATACTGGTACCGTAATACACGAGACAATGCATGCACTTGGTTTTTATCACGAACATGCTAACCCCAACAGAGATGATTATCTACAAATTTGGGAAGAAAACATTGATCCAGGTAGATTATTCAATTGCATTTATAGCTATTAACAATATTTTTACAGAGATGATGCACAATTTTGAGAAAGACGATCCTGAATACGTTACAGACTTTGGGCAACCATACGACTACTGCAGTATTACTCATTACGATGAACGTGCTTTTGGTATAAATAATTCAATAACTATGACACCTAAGTGTGTACGTACCACTCTCCAACACTGGTTGCTGATGATAATCAGGTCTTTTCAGGATGTCACGTGCGAGATGGGATTTGTGGAAGAACTAAGTCCGATAGATATTAACAAGTTAAACATAATGTACGATTGCCCGTATCCCTTAAACGAAGTTTCAGCTCCTACAGGATGCCGCGAGATCGTCTCCACTACCATACAACCTACCACCGATGAAAATGACTGCGGAGCAAGTGTCGAAGACGACTGTCCAGAATAACTCGACTTAAAATTCTGCGAACTCGTAATTGTTTCTATTGACTACAGGTTTATGTAAAATCCGTCGTGCTCGTATAATTAGTTTAGGAAACGTTACACTAAGTCTGTGTTTCATTTCTTTCGGAATACGTTTCTTCAAAGCCTTACTATATTGAATTAAGAGTAATCTATATTTGAAGCAGAAGGTCATTTGGCGCAATCGACCAATTGCTTGTTCTATCAAATTATCAGTTCGATTGGAATCATGAAAAACATAACTTGATAAGTTGCGAGAACAATAATACCTTCACATCCACAAGTGTACTCCCAAGGCACAAGGCAAATGTTTGAACTTGGCATTGCTTAAAGCTCCAAAGGTCCTCATTTTGCCACTTGAAGGGATGTCCTGTAATATAAAAATCTAAAGCGTTTAAAGAAGTAAGCTTCTCATTGTCCTAAACACTAGGCGGCCAACTTCATCTGGAATTACTAGGAAGTAAAATTAATGAGCATAAGCGATTCTCTCGCTTAGATCCATTGCGGCACGTCATTTATGCAAAACAAGTTGTAAATCAGCATATGCATGAAGTAATCTAACTCTAGCTCAAAATAGACTACAGCCTGCACATCTACACTAGCAGAAAGCTTTTAGTGAAAATTTCAAGTCTCTAGCTATTGTAATTGCTGAGATCTCAGCCGGACAGGCAGCCAGCCAGCCAGACAGCCAGCCATAACGAATATAAATAATAGCGCTTTTTCTAAAATGCGCTAACAATATTACTTCATTAAGACAGAATTCGGAAAAACAAATGTAAATCACATTTAAATTACAAATTTCCTGTCCTCTTTGTGGAAAGTGAATTCCGTAGTTAGCAGTTCCTGAGGTCACTCTTACGTATAATGACTAAGACAAGACGTAAACATGGGTCCCTCAGAGAGAAACCTGAGACTTGAAACTCAATATTGGAGCTGTATGCCTAACCTCCTTATTAGAAGGATGATCTCTACAACTATAGTACGGTGAATTTTGAAATTTGAAACTGAGATCTTGCCAGTGACAGTTGTAGAAGCTTAAAATATCCAACGCCATCGCCATGCTTTAAGAGCCTTCTTTAAACGTTCAATGGTGCTGTCATAAACTTCACTATTAATAGTGGTTCGTTTTGCCATGTGTGCAATAGCAAACGCCCTCAAAGTCCAAAAAATTATAGCTATCAATTTTGCAGATTGTGTGGGGACTGGGGAACTTTTAGAGACACACTGCATTTGGTTCCTTTGGTTAAAATCCACGTGTATAATCGATGAAATGTTACACAAAAAAACTATATCAATTTAAATGTCTTATCAATTTAATTAATTTCTCAACTGATCGACATAATTAAACACAGAAACGAACTATACTAAAAGTATCCAATAGACGATTTTATTTGACAAAACACAAAACTGCCAGTAAATTTATGATAATAATGATTACCTATATTGTCCTTGTCTTTATTTCAATTGGTTCCTTTAACTTTTAACTTTCAAATTTTCTAAACAAAATTTCAATCTGCACTACACTATACTTGGCAAAATAAATCAGCCAAAATGGAACAGAGAATTTGATGGCCTTCAGCGGCGTATTTGTTTTCAGTTTCACGTTTCCTCTTGGATAAAACATTTCCTATCGAGATTGAAAGAATGCGCTCTGCTAAATTGTTAACGAATAACGATCCTTAAGATCGTTTACAATTTTGTATTGCTGTCTATCTGTCTGTCTGTTCGTCTGCCTGTCTGTCCGATTTAGGTTAGGTTAGGATAAATTTTCAGTGTTTAAACAATTTATCTACTTATAAATATACAAATAATGCTAACAATAACCTAAATAAAGGACACAAAAAACATTAAAAATGCATTATCTAATATATAAAAATCTCATGTCACGGTGTTTGTGGTCGCACTCCTCCGAAACGGCTCGACCGATTTTGATGAAATTTTTCTGGTATATTTGCTTGGTATGAGAATAGGTCGTATAGTATATTTCATACAGTAAGGTGATTATATAGTTTGCCGGGAGTGCGAGGTAAGGCGGCGCAACCGCCTATACCGTCCATCCAAGGAAACATTGACTGATAGACGGTATTAAGTTCGCCGGGTGCGTGACGTGACGCGGCGCACCAGCCAAATCAAGCGTATGTCCCATGTAAAAAAAAACGAGATTTCCCAAAGGCGCTGCAAAGTTCGCCGGATCTGCTAGTGTAACAATAATATTCAAGGTATTCATACATTACATTTGATACTTTCTTCGCTTTTCATCCTTACTCAAGCCAAGGGCGGTTAACTAATCGCACGGATCGAATTCAAGTAACGATTACTCTTAGTCAAGAAAAATTCTGATTCTTTTGAATACAAAGTAATCTACATTTATAAAAGCCCAAATTTAGTTGTCTTTCTTTAGCTTTTAAAAGTGTGAAATGATGCCGATGAACGCGTGGAGTAGGTTAAACAAAAATTGACTTTTTTTTAAATGTTATATTTGATCTCAATTACCATAATTTACAGTATAGACCGAGTCAATAAAAATACTGTAACGTAAATTTAATTACATGATTTATTTATTTACAATTTACTGGCAACCAATTTATAACAGTCTTGAAATGGATTAATGGATCGTTGCATTACCCTTTTTCAGTTAAAAATTGTTTAAATAATGTATAAATTGTTTAAACAATGAAACTCTAATTTGGATACAAATTAGTCTTTAATTTATAGTTTTTGATGCAACTAAGAAAATTGAAATCGGATAAAGTGGGGGTGCTAGCTTGATTGCAAGTAAGCACTTGCCAGGATACAACGATACAACGCTCGTTCAACTATTTCGGACGTTTTACAATACCGCCGATTTTTGCCAATATTCGGTTCGCTGTGACAATTTACTTACGAACCGTCTGATGACATTCTAAGTTACAACTTAAAAATGTAAAAAAGTATTTCTTTTGAACCTTCCACGTTTTGGTACTTTCACAAACAAAATTTAAAAAAAGAATTCACCCAGACCTACAAATTTGGCCTTTTGTTTCAATTTGAATTGAAAAGGTACAGTGTGTTTAAAAATAAAAGGGAAACTAAATCACAGTTTACAACCCATCTACTTCAGATTATATAAAATCTAACGGATCGTGTAAATTAGATATACTGTAAGCTTTTCAAGAACGACTCGACTCCGTATAGCCATATCCGCCTTACTAAAATAATGTAAGCTGGACTCAACTGTTCGCCACTTTTATTCCTTGATAGCATTCGTATAAGCGTATTATAACAAAACAGTATGGTTGAATGCATCGTTTGTTGGGGAATCTTGCCATACAGTAAACGAGGGAGTGAGTGATTGACATGTAGACAAGATTAGACGGTGGACAATAGAAGTATTATGCACGACTTTCGAAGTTAGTAGATTGGAAAATCCTGGCCAATCATTTGATATCATCTCCTTTTCGTGCATAACTTAATCAATAATCAATAAAACGCGTAGTCGCTTGTCTATTGGACAGCGACAATTCGTAGACACTTCGCAGCGGTTACAATTGAACCGATGACAAAAGTGGACAGCCCTTCAGCACCTTTTCGTTCGCAAAATAGCACGAATTTGTTATTTTACGCTCAATGGAGTAACCTCGTTATAAAGTCAGATTATTTTCTTCGCTTTTCTAAATGAGGTGTCAATCCGTTCGTCTTACAAAGCGTGTAAACACAGTTTGATGTCTTTGTAGTACATATTTGCGGTAGGTATAAGACTTTTATCGGAAAATATTAAGACCTTTTGAGCTTTAACATGGCAAGTAGTTCAGGATTAAGCTTTTAGTGCTATTCGTCTTACGTCCCTTAATTGTTATTCATTGTTTCGTTATTGTAGAATCAACGAGGCACCACACCTAAATCACGGTAGTATTTTAATCTGTGCCTTAAAGCATAACTATTCTGATTACCTGATGGGTATTTGTTAACTATTCCTTTGAGATTGGATCGTTTTAGCATTGAATAATTTATTATTCAATGGTTTTAGTGATAATGGTTAGTTCACCACAAACAAAAAGGGAAGGTGACTGGAATTTCTTTTTCCACTTCGGATAACTAACCAGCACATTTTCTAAGTTGTATAGTAAAAACGTTCCCTTTAATTATAAGAAATACGTAAAAACGGGAAATACATCTCATTAATTATTTCAGTAGATACTTACAGCCACAGAGACTCTTAATCTTTTTAGGTACGGCCATTATTTACACTTGCACAAATTTCGTTAATGGTCGGTACATACGGGTATAAAAAATTTATTCTCATTTAATTAAAGAACATTTTTATGAAGGCTTCCCTCAAAGTACACAAAGATCGCTCTAGGTACCTAGGTGGGAGCTTCGAGATCTAAGTGCCCCTTTACACTACGCGACTTTGCAGCGCTGCTTAGCTCGTCCTGAATTATTAGATGGCAAATGGTTCAATGATACAAAAGCCTGTCACTGTAACACAGACTGGTTTTTAATTGGCTCTGGAGCAGTAGTGTTTACTAACCAAATTGGATAATGGATAGTGGCAAAGGCATTAACCAAACCATTCACGTTTCTTAACGTTTGGATCAAGATTAATCCCGAATTGAATATGTTTGTGCACGTCCTAAAATCGAATTAAATATAAAGGATGCAATCTCCCATGTTAACAACTCAATAATCTTCTGTGAACAGGTGGAATGTGATACGTTCCTAAATCCTTTAAGCTTATGCATATGCTGTACGAATATTTGCCCGATTGCCTGCCTGTTTGTAATTCTCTCTGTCTGTTGGTCTGGTTAATACGAAATTGCAAAAAAAAACCTTTAATTTCTGTTTTCAGCAGGCAAATGGTTAGCTATGTCACTAATTTCGTTCGATAAACCCCGAAAAGGTGCAGAAGGTCTTAAGTTGTTGTATACTCCTCTGGTATTCACCTTACGAATTAGGAAATTGCAGGAAAACCTAATTCGGAGTAGCCGGAAGAATGCTCGAAACTGATCTAAGGAAATTCCCATGTCTGTCACAGACGAAAAATTCTTACCTCAGCCCAGATTCAAACACCCGACCCGAACTAAGGCTATGTAGC